AGATATTCGTGTCACCACGACTGGAGGGGGTCGGCAGTGGGTACTCCAGTGATAGAGATGGCTTTCATCATGTTGGGTTCAGAAATGACGCTGGTTTGATAAGCGAGTTCGGGGCTGAATACAGTGGGATTCTTTTTATCTGTGCTTCACCTGGATGGACCTAAGATTCACTTCGGGTCTTTGGATACGACCTATAACATCTTCTGTGACTGCTCCTTCTGATGATACTGGAGCCTAGACTCTCATGTATTGGACATATGTTGATTTTCGGGCTGAAGTCGAACTCTTTGTGGGGCCGCCGTGGGCCGCCCTTGGGACGGCAGGGGAGAAGGAAACACAAATGCCTATAGATGTAAACGAATAATTATGTTGTTGACGGTTCTCGGGCTCCCTCTTTGAGTATGTTCGGTGAAGTTTTGATCTGCGGTTGCTTCGCTCCGCCTAGTTTGAATGTATTTTTCGGCAGCACGTGGACAATCAAATCGAGCCTTTTCTGCATGGTGGGGTTATGAGAACCTATCGATATGAGCATACCGCCAACAATGTGGCAGTAGTGTTCCGAGTCATGGACAAGGACCATGGCACTCCCTAGATTGATGCAGGTCCGAAGAAATAGCCAGCCTAGGGATGATGAACCAATGCCAGGTTCCTCCACTATAGTACTAGTTAACACCATAGATGACGATTCCTGTTGGTCAGATGCGGTTTGTATGAATGCTAGCCGTTGATGACATGAATGCTTCTGAACCGACACTATGTGTTATTCGCTGAGGGGTCTTGAGGGAAATTGCTTAGTAACTTGTTGGGTTAATCTTACTCAGATGTAACCCAGCCAGGACATGTATATTAGTTTGTCATCATGCCCATTTGCATGGTACAGACTTCTGTTGTGAAGGTGGTTTTTGAGAGCTGTGTAATTCGCGTCACTTTCACTCGAGCTACGAGCCCACTACTGGACTTGTAGTTGCTATTGTGTCGGCTGTCTCCTCAGCACAGGGGCTTCGCCGTAATCTATTGCAATTACTTTCATACTCGTCTAGGCTCAGATCGTCTCTCTATTTCTCTGTTTGGGATGTCGTCTTGAGAGGGTACGAATATTTCGTCGAGTTCCTTGAAAAAGTGGCGTCGGTCTCCACATAGGATTCCTTCTATTCTGGGTTTTCTGATCTAACGCTGTTCGCTTAGGCTCGTGTTAGATAAGGAAGGCTATTGAGTTGAAAAGTAGTGGTGTTTCAGTACATAGTTTAGTGTCTCGAAAGATGGGAAGAACCAACGCCTCTGAAGCTCAACGTAAGCGTCT